AGAACAATAACCTAGAAAGGACCTGTGAAAACAGGTTACAGTAACTAAGGGGGGGTGGGCTTAGAGGAAATAAATTTTCATGTCTCTTTGTCCCTTTTGAACTTTTATTTAAAGCTGGGTATAGTGGCAATTGTAATTCAGACTACCCAGGAAGCTGAGTCAGGAAGGCTGAGAGTTCAAGACAGGACTGGACAACTCAGTGAGACCCTGTCTCAAAAAACCAAAAGGGGCTGAGAATGTAGCTTGGTGGCAGAGTGTTAGTCTACCATGCACAAGGCCCTGGGTTCAAATCCCAGCACCACATTAAAAAAAGAAAAAAAGAAAGAAAGAATATTGAAAAATGAACTCTTCCCTCTAGATTTTTAGTGTTAGATGTCATGTTCTTCCTTTCCTCTTTATTTTATGTTTTTTAAGATGGAATCTTCTGATGCCTGGCTAACCTCCTGGAAGACGACACCCTGGTCCTCTCGCTCTCAACTCTCAAGGCTAGGATTGCAGGTGTGACCCACCATGCTCAGCTAACTCACTTTTGAAATAAAATAATGTTTAAAAACCAACCAAATGCAAAACACAGTCGTTGAGAAGGTAGTCCACATCTTCCCAGTGTGGTCTCGAGTGTTGCTGAGTTCAGGCAGGATCCCTGGGTACCAGTTGCCCTGGTGGCCCCCAGGAAGGTGATGCTGACCCCCCCCCCAGGCTGTCTAGCCCTGCACATGATCTAAGCTTCTAGAACAAAGTCACAAAGATGCTGGGGACGAGGGAAAACTTGATCATATGTGAATGCTATAGCCTACAGACAAAAAATAAAGTTACCTCATTCCCATAGCATAAAAGGATTTCTCTTTAAAAAGTAGCTCCAGGGCTGAAGCTAGGGCTCAGGGGTAGTGCACTCACTAAGCACGTTCGAGGCCCTGGGTCAGATCCCTAGTTCACTCTGAGAGAAGTGGGGTGTCCATTGTGGACATTTTCTTTTTCATTAGCATAAACTAATTGTATAGAGTAATGTGTTTCCTATAGCACATTCAGACATGCACATATTTTGATCATAGTCACATACACCCTACTGTCCTCTTTTCTCCTCAAATAGTCATCATAGATATTTTTTTAAATCAGAAAAGCATGGAAAAGAGGCCAAAGGTCAAAATCCTTCCTAACCCTACTCCTAGCAATACATTATAGCTCAGTGTGGATGTGTGGATCTGCTCATGGGTGATCAGGAAACACATGACATTTTATAAATTGTTTGAGACATTTTGTAAATTCCTCCTTGCTGGCCAGTTTACATAGTGCTAGAACAGGTTCTCGGCCTGCCCAGCTGACCTGGAACTTACTCTATAGACTGTGCTGGCCTTGAGCACACAGAGATCCACCTGCCTCTACTTCCCCACCCGCGAGGGTATCACGATTTGTCCATTTTGTAATCTTATCCATTGTCATTTAAAAATACGACGTACTGCCTCATGAAATATTACTTTACAATGTAACTTTAAATGCCTGGATAGTGCACTATCTGCCGGTCAATAATCTTGCTAGTTCCCTAAACTGAAAGTTCAGCTTGCTTTCCTCTTCTTGATGTCAACACATTTCTAACCCGCTGCTAATGCTGGTGTTAGCATTTTCTAACTTCCACACATACATATCTTAATTTGCTCTTTCCCACCCTTATTTCTGTAGGGAATGTACTTCAGTGGTAGAGCACAACTTAGCACCAAGGTACTAATACGTATTAGGAAGAAAACAACCAGGTTCAAAGGAAGCAATTATAAAAGACAATTCTGAGACATTTGGAGAAAATAGGATATCTTAGTGAGTCATGATGTCATCAACTTGCTTTAAAATAATTTTAAAAAACTGAAGCTAAAATATGGAAAATAGTAATTATTACATTTAGGCAATAAGTATAATTCATTGTATTATTTCGTATTTTTCACTATTTTAGTAATTTTCATTTAAAAATATGTGTTAAACCCAGCAGACATAGGTTATTAAATGAAAATCATAGTGTCAGGCTTGAAATAACTCCCTACAACTTATTGGTCAGGGGGGTCCCAGAGCTCTCCCAAACAGCATTGCTCTTGGCTGCCCATCAGAACTTGATAGTAAGACCCCATTGCTGAAAACACAACGTATTTTGGTTGTAGGACATAGAAAAATCAAGCTGGAACCAACCTGAAAACTTCCTCCTTGCTGGCCAGTTTACATAGTGCTTAGAACACTGGTTCTCAACCTTTCTCATGCTGTGGCCCTTTAATACAGTTCCTCATGTTGTGGTGACCCCAAACCAGAAAATTATTTTCATTGCTACTTATAACTCTAATTTTGCTACTGTTATAAATTGTAATGTAAATATCTGCTTTACCATTATCCTAGGCAACCCCTGTGAAAGGGTCATTCGACCCCCAAGGGGATCACAACCCACAGGTTGAGAACAGCTGTGCTCGAAGATGCTGTGCAGATTGCTAAGAAAGAAAAACCATCAATGGTGTTTCCCTCTGGTGAGCCCTGCATGCCACAACACTCCCTTGCCAGGTAAGATGTGACCACTGGGTGTAAAAGTGGGACAAAGGTTACGTGGTAGCTAATCGCTTTTGGGTTGGATTTAAGGTCCACGTCACAGAATGGAATTGATGCCTGATGCTATTGATCTGGTCAAAAGCCCACAGCTAGAGAGGTTGTAGGCCTTAGGGGGAAACCTACTTACTTCTCTTGTCTTGCTAAATTGACACGTTGTCAACTACCTTCTGAATACTCATGTTTATGCCCATAGATTAATGCTGCCCTCCACCTTAGCCAGGGGAGCCTCTCTCTGAAGGGGTCCGCAGTTAATTCAGAGACTTCTAACTGGTTAAAGTGCTGAGAATGTCGTGCTGAGCTCCCAGGGAATATTACAGAAGAGGCAGGTGGGGAGAATGTAAGAGTTGGAGCATGAGGAAGAACAGCATGAGGAAGAAGACCAGCATGAGGAAGAGCAGCATGAAATGCCATCTTCTGGACATGGTAAGGCCATTGCACTCATGAACTTACTGCTGCCATGGTCACCTGCACAAACCTATACAAGATCAAGCCAACAAGATCAGTCAACATTCCAACACGCAGCACTTGGGCATGAGAGGAGACAGGGGATGAGACGTTGGGAGTGTCTTGAGATCCAGGGGAGTTGGGATGCATACGAGCAATATGCATTGTTTACATATATGGAATTGTCAAAGATAAATAAAAGATATTCTAGCTTTGTGGTAGGTAGGCACTAAACTCTTACCTTGTATACGCCGATCACCTCACAGAATGGGTTGCCTTTGGGGAGCATGCTTCCACTGGGAAGTCTCAAATGCAATATGACTGTTGCCCACAGGACCTGTCTTGAATCTGTTTTTCCTGGTTCCTCTTACATCATCACCACAAATATATTTTCCCAAGTTTAAAATATATATACCCTCCCAGTGCCTCAAACCTAGAAGAATGGTTATACAGAATTGTACTAACCTGGCAGCTGTGTGGTCCATGGTGACCTGAGATTCACCTCAGCAAATCATTTCTGGGTACCCACATGCTGTTAGCACTGTGAAGGTACCAGGACTTCAAGAGTAAATGGCAGAGGCTCCTGTTCTCTGTCCACAATCAAGGAAGCCTCCCCAATGAGGAAGAGCAGGGTCTATGAAGAACAGGGAGATGGACCAGCAGCCAGGCATTCCCATAGAGAGGCTGGCAGGACTCGGGGCCAGGAGGATCCAGCGCAGGCATGTGTGTGTGTGTGTGTGTGTGTGTGAGTGTGTGTGTGTGTGTGTGTGTATTTTGTAGTTCGCAAGTTAGCAAACAATTCCTGTTTTGTAGGCCAAGAGGGAAATGAAGGCTACCCTGTAGGGACTAACACAAGAGAAAAAAAAGCAAGGCAACAATTTTGTTGACAAAATTCAGAACTTTATTTGTAGACACAAAAATTTATTTATTTATTTATTTTTTTTTTTGTAGTTTTGATGCCGGCCCTGGATCTGGCTCTGTAGACCAGGCTGGCCTCAAACTCACAGAGATCCACCTGGCTCTGCCTCCCGAGTGCTGGGATTAAAGGTGTGCGCCACCACTGCCCAGCATTAAATTTCTGCATCAGAACTATTGTTTTTGTTTGTTTCCCAGCCATTTTATTATGTAAAACGACTCCTATTTCATGGGTGATACCAAACCGGGGTAGGCAAGATTTGGGGTAGTCTGTGTCTCCTACTCAACATGACTCTCTGGTTGTTTCTGAGGGTGCTGGTTCCTTTTCAAAGCTGTCTCAATTGAGGTGACCTGAATGGGCCTGATCCAATTGTTCACACCACGGTCCTTGGCCACTTCTAATCCTTATCAGCGGGGGATAAGACGCCAGGCTGAACACCCCCGCCCCCACCCTGTACCTGTTTCCTCCCATTAGGAACCCAAGGATACTCCTGCCCTAATGAAGAAAATACTGTTTGATCTGTAGTAGGCTCGGGTCACCTGCCCCTAGTAACTGGTCCAGAGCGTTCCTAAATGCTGAAGTGCTTGGAACCTTCGAAGCAGGTGCATTCTGTGTCGTAAAGGCAGACACCTCATACCTAGGGATCGGGTGTCTTTCCGGTGCCAAAGGAAGACAACCATCCTGACTGGGACCCAGTTCCCCCTCTGAGCAGCCAGGTTGGGTATGTAGAGTCGTCAGAAGAGGCAGCCGGCCTTGCTCACTGGCCGCCGCCGTGTCCCCAAGCCGGCCTCCTGTAGCCACCCTCCCGGCTGCTCCCCGCGCTGCTGGAAGCGCCATCTCAAAGGACCGATTCTTAAGCCACTGCTGCGCAGGAGCCGCTGGCGCGACCTCGAGGATTGCTGGCTCCTACCAAGCGCCCTCAAGCTTGCACTCGAGGGCGCGGCTGAAGTCCTCCCTCGAGGCGCCCACAGCCCGGGCTCGTGCAAGGAGCACTAGGCCGCTGCCACCACCGTCGCTGCCCTGCGGGGCGGGGCGGGAGTTGGCGCTCGCGGGGACCGGGGCTGGTCCCGTAGTTGCGCAAGTGGCACTGAGGCAGCTATAAGAGGGGCAGGCAGGCATGGAGCCCCGGAGGAATCCCCGCGCCAGCAGCTGCAAGGTAAGGCCCTGGGCACGCTTTCTCCTTCTCCGTCAGTCTGTCTTGGCGCACCATAGCACCCCACCTAACTCTGGAAACCAGAGAAACTGAGGCAGGTAGTGTGAACGGCTTGGTGCTAAACTAAGTAGCTTTGCAGTGAGGTTCTAGACAGAAGGAAGCCGGCTGGGAGCTGAAGCGTGTTGAATTCCGGGTTAGGCCGGCCTGTGCCCACAGGGCACCAACCTGTTCTTGCAGAGCCAGCCAGGACTCCAGGAGCGTGTTTGGTCTGCAGACCTGAGATGACTGGGGAACTGAGATGAACAGATCCCACACATGTCAGATGGAAAGCGCGAGGCTGGACGGGCAGGGATGCAGCCTTTCCGGGTTCCTGGGGGCTAGATATAGCCTTGCTTTGCCGAAAAATTTATTTTCCAGTGAGGGTTTGACTGGGGAGGGGGCCAACCCAGTACTAAAACTACTGTGGAGTAGAGGTGGGTAGAAACACTGTCAGGAAGAACCCATTCCGCCTAGCCGCACCCCCGCAAAAAAAAAAAAAATTTGCACCAGAACTCACTTAGTCTACCCTCAAAGCCATGCAAATTATCGTTTTCGTGGATTACCTCTGGGGAACAGAACCCCAGATCATGGGAAAAACCTGTAGCCAGCACGTTTTTTACTGTTAGACATTTCTACCCAAGATGGCCAAATGCACATTGCCAGTCTGAAGCTCCAGCATGACCTCCCCCTTCAGCTGTCTTTCTCTCTGGGGTTCCTTTAGACTGGATTGTGGGTGTGATGCCCATACACTCCTCTCTGTCTTACTGGGAAAGTGGTGTTTTAAGTATGGTCAGATACCATACTGCCTGGTGTGGAGAGCTGCTTGAGAGAGGACAAAGTAGTTGAGTCATTTCGTTTGGAAGCATGGTTGTCAGGAGAGGCAGACAGAGGGCAGGGACTTGGTGGCACCATCCGGGAGCACAGGCTCTTTGGGTGCCCTTTGCAAGGTGGGAATAAGAGTCATATTTTTTGTAGAGTTCTTGATAGGACTGGGAGAGCGTTTCCAAACCTTTCTCTGATCTGTATGATACATGGAACCAAATTTCAAAGGTGGAATGTCAAACAGCCAGCTCACTCCCCTAGGGATGAAAAGACCACAGTGATCATGTATCTCATTGAGGCATGAAGAGAAGCACACTCCTCCCCCTCAAAAAAAGATTCTTTTCAGTTCTTTCCTTTCTCAAGCACCAAGGATGCTGGGCTGAGGGGAACATGTCCACATTGGCTAAAGGAGCATCCTTCTCATATTTGGTACATCTTATACCCGAAATAACAAACTCTTCTCGGTATCTGGGGAAAATACTTTCCTCTCTCTGTTCCAGGAAAAAACTCAAAGAGCGAAGGACAGAGCCAGGGAAGTTGCAATGAATTCTTGTCCATCAGCCCCAGGCAGATGCCGCTCGTGTCTGAGTGACCCATGTGGGGTGTAGAGATGGCCACCTGGGAAGACTCTTTTCAGAGCCTCAGTCATTCCCCTAGAGGCACATGGGAGACAGGGAGCTAGAGCAGGGTCTCCAGGAACACGGAATTCTTCTGGAGTATGCATGAGCATTCTAGCCCATAGACACAGCCTTGAAATTCTTCTCTGTCCACATCCCAGAAATGCAGAGGTTAAGTTCTATGGAAAAACAGGATGTCTTGCCCTCAGATACCCAAGTCTCCTTTGCACTTGTTCCCCATGTGACAACAGAAATGCCCTGCTCAACGGCAAACTACATGCTCGAATCTTTCCTGCTGTCTGTGAGCTCTCTGAATCTACAATCATGTCCCTCCTGACAATTCACCTAAACCATAGACTCAGTCCCCATCTGTGTGCACATGGTGTTTGCTCTCAGGAGTACCAGAGCTCTGTAGGGGAGCCATAAAGCTGACAGGGGGAGTTCAGCATGGGTCCCCTGACAAAGACTCACAGTGCTGGGATGGGACAGACTCATGGATGGGTCTGGAGTCACTTGGAATGACAGTCCACACTGAGCAGGGCTCAGGGGGCTGAGAGAAATGGGAAATATGTAAAGGCTGGGAACACAGAAGAGACGCGGAGGCGACTCAAAGTGTTGGAGAAAGAGAAAGCTGGACCCTGCAGCTTTTTAAGACAGCGTCATAGGCATTTCTGTGGAGGCAGAACTAAAGTCTGAGATGGCAGCTTGTGCCTATAATCTCGGCACTAGGAAGGCAGAGGCAGGCAGACCAAGAGTTCAAGGCCAGTGTGGACAACATGGTGAGTTCAAGGCCAGTTTGGGCTTTGTGAGACTGCCTCAAAACAAAGAAAGATGACTTTTTTCAGATGGAAGCCACCCTGAAGACAGGTTAACCTGGTCAGCCAATGGAGATCAAGGATGGAGAATAGTTTACTTATTCATTCAACAAAAATTGAATAAACACCTGCTCTGTAGATGCCGAGCCAAGTGCGGGTGTCACTAATGGATTGTGGCACCCTCTTTCAGTGTGGCAAGAGCTCCAGTTCCCCTTCCGACAGTGCTCCGGGGAGCCACTGAAAACTGATCAGAGTTGACACAGGAGTTGAAATCTATTTGCTTTCCCTGATGGGAATGAAAAGAATATAAGCCCCTCACCCACACTGTGCCTACCAGCTAAGAATGTCAGCATGATTTCTCAAGCAAGGCCTTTGGTTGCAGAGAAGAGAAAATTGTTCCTGCTAGCTTAGTGAATTTCAAATTGCATATTGTGGCCAACATTTGAAAAATGAACTGAAATCCCCAAGAGTGTATCACCTGCAGCAAGGGCAAATCTCTAAAAACATTTTTTTAAACATTTTGTGTGTGTGTGTGTGTGTGTGTGTGTGTGTGTGTGTGTGTGTGTGT